CACATGAGCCCAGATGCAGTCTTCAGTGTGTGGATGAAAAAATGAGAAACATTTTTATATGAAATAAGACACGCCGATGACGCAGGGGAACAATAGTTTTGAAGAACCAGAAAATGTTCCCAATATAATAGTACTATAATATTTTCATTGCACCTGAAGAATTGAAAAAAAAAAAGCACTGCTTGTAAAACACCGTCGGGATCGTTTTATCTAAAACAACCACATTGTTCCCCCCTGAAATGCTTCCGTGTGGTCTTGGGAACAAAGCCAGATGGTCTGTCATTCCGATCTGTTAACATTTTTGTGCAATTAACTAGAAGAGTAGGGAGAAACTTTTATGAAATAATATGCACTGACACTCCTGCGTGACTCATTTCCACACTTTCCGGGCAGTTCAGTAGCGGTGAATCTTCTACGCGTGGCTCAAGGATCAACTGCACAGTCTCGAGGATTTTCGTCTGCAGAGTCTCGAGGACTGTTATGATTTAAGGGACACTAAAGTCAAGTAATAATTTACGTCAGAGTGAAAGCTCAATGTATGACAACATCTAAAACGCCAATGTTATCAACAACAGTGCTCTACTTACCGAGAAATTAAGGTAAATGCACAAGAACACAAGCGCCGCTGTAGGGCATTTTCAAAATTATCCCGATGACATCAGACTGCCTACAATTAATCACTAGTAACCGATCTAACTGCACGAAATAAAGAACCTTCCGTGCATAATGAGATGCAATAAAATGCTACTCGCCAGTCTCTGTTTGATTCATGGAAAAAAGAACGGCCGAACGTTACTATGGTGAATGGTGCTAGTGGTTCAAAAATTAAATTTTCACGTGGTTGTACGGGACAGGTAGTGCCATCTAGCAAAGTGCAGTTGAAAGAAAAACGTCTGCGATCTCGAAGCCATTGATGGGAAATTCATTATTGGCCGTTGTTGCTGCTGTGGCTCCCGTGCACAGTGAAGCCGGGCAACATTGTGCACGGCAACAGTGGCGTGAGTCGGTCCAGTCGCTCTCCTTCTTGAGGCGGGTAGTTTGAAGCATAGAGTTTCTTAATATACACTAGAGGGAACTCTGGCGCTAGTGTCTATGGGAGCTGCAACACACGGCGCTTCAGCGAGCATGGGAATGATGGGTAGTACACACATTTGTCTAATTTTCGTACTTCTGGCCTGCTTCTGGCTCCATGTGTGTTTGTGTGGCTTGGAGCGGTTTCTTGATGAAAACATAAATTAGCAAATATTCACCGTTTGCGCTTCACAACCTTACTTTTTTAGGCTTACATTTTGAATCAAGTCACTAAGTTCAAAAGGGTTTGTTCTTTCTTTCAAAACAAAACCGTAACCAGCAATAAACGAAGCCACAAGTACGATTCGCCGCCCGCAAGTATGAAGACTAGGCAAATGTGTGTACTACCCATCATTCCCATGGTCACTGAATGATCGCAGCGCCAGAGTGCCCTCTAGTTAATTTTGGGAAACTCTATGGTTTGAACTACACTCATCCATTGCGAACCACTAAAACGTGGTTTTATTTCAAAATAGGCCCTTCCGTGGCACAAAAGTAACACTACGAGGTTTCTGGACCGTCATTTCAACAATCAAGGTCGACTTAATAGTTGCCTTTAGTGTCCTTTTAAAGGACACCATAGTATAAGGCTTCGGGAATTTCAACCATTTGGGGTTCTTTAACCTGCACCTAAATGGTTAATCTAAGCACACGAGCCTCAAGCATTTTAGAATTCAGCAAATATATGTTGTTTGAGCCTTAAGAAATAAGATCTTTGTAGTGTTGCATGTGTGTAATCACTACCCAATGCATGAGTGCCGAGAAAGTCAGACTGTCCCCACACGCACCTCTACTACTCTCATCACTTCTCACAAGAGGAAGAAGTAATTATCTCGAGAAAGTGGCCGGGGACAGCTGACTTACAATGCAAAGCGTATGCGGCAAAATGCGCTTTGAAGATTTCACTCACGATGTCCTCATGCGGAGCGCGCTGTCGTCAATGTATAGAAACAACTTCATTGTACTCGCGACGGCTGCTTAGGCTGTAAAAGGAGGGAGCGAGTGCGCTCCTCTATACCGGCCGTGGTATAACATTACAATTTGTTGCTATTACATTGATTGCTTCGCCGTTGCGGTGGAACTGTGATTTTTTAAATAACTTGGAGGCAGCATTCAGAAAAGAACTAGCTTCCCAGACAACACAAACACAACCTCAGGACATCCTCAGTATGCCTCCGTGAGGACAATATGACGCCCTCAGAATGTCTTCTTATGGTACTACAATGGCACTAATCCCGTTTCCTTTTCCATACACATAACAACCTCAGCACATCCTCACAACAACACTTCAGGACTTTTTCAGCATCTTTTCAGAACTACGATAGCGTGGCAGGTTCGGTACTCAGGGCAGTGATGCTACTTAGGATTTACTTTTTTTTATGATGTTTCGATACATCAAAAGAAAAACACCTGTGAGGTCTCGTTTAAATATACTGTATCAAACAACAGAGAAGCGACAGTGCTGGACTATTACAGTAAAACAAACAAAGCTTGTTGACTGAAATTTATTTATTTAACAGTAATTAATCACAACTGGCAGCTTTGTTAGACATTCGAGTTCGCTTGTAGTCTGAAAAAAAGAAAAGCAGTATCAAAGCAGTCAACACAGCTCATTCAACCACGTTTGTAATCTTCTTTGAAAGTGTGACACGGTGTCTTCATCACCACGTGTATCATGCCCAATGCACTCACTAGTGTTAGAGGCTCCGCTCTGACATCCTACCAGTACACTCAACACGGGCGTTGACTTGACTTGCCCGAGGTCGGGCCATGTGTCAGATGCAGAAGTCGATCCTTTCTCCTTGGGACAAGGCTGCTTCGAAGCACAATTGATCGCGATTGGCTGGTGTTCTAGGCTGCTTCGAACCACACTTCGCCGCGGTCGTCTGGTGACAATGCATCCATGATCAGTCTGAACGTTGGGCAGCCCAGTGCACCCATCAACACGGCAATTTATCTCCCGTCATCACCTACGACTTACACTTTCACACATATCTCACTTTCAACCATGCACACAAAAGACACGAACCTTCACTAGTACACTGCACCTTCTCTGACAGACTCCATTTTGACAGTCAGTTGGCTTGGAATGGCTTGGCTACTTGACTATCTAAAATAGTGCCGCATGGTCAATGGTTCCCAGCTGCTAGTTTGTTATTACGCACTACAGTAGCGTATTATGACTAATTTAAGGCTGTGACATTTAAGAACACACTGTTTCAAGAGGACATTTCACAATACCAGGTTCGATACCTAAGTCAATTAATTACGTGTGTCTCATGAAGCGGAACGCATAATTTGAAAATTGTCTGCCAAAAAAAAAAAACCAATGAGGCAAAAATATACAATAGCTTTATGACTGCATGAAACAAACGTGTGGAGAAAGTTTTCACATATGAAATGCATCTAGTACTTAGTGCGCAAAGATCTTGAGGATTTATACGTAAGTACTCAGTGCAATGCTTTTGTAATCCCCTAAAGGTCCTTGACAGGACCTTTTCCGGACAAATTGTTGTCCTCAGAAAGCACTCGAAAAGACGTTTGAACCGGTGCTAGTGCATTGCCTTTGTCCTCTCCGAAACTTCCTTGAGATTACTTTTTCAGGATAAATTGTTGTCCTCGAAAGCACTCGAAAAGACGTTTCGGGGTCAAACCAGCTTGTGTCGTCCTCAGTAAGTACAAAGGTCAATGAGAACTGTGCGAGGAGGATTGTATCATATGAGGACGACCTCAGGACATCGAGTGTTGTCTGGGTAAATTTGAAGAGCGAAGCAATGAATGCCATAACAAATTTTGGATTTAATTTGATATAACACTACAAAACACTGGTGTGAGAGAATGTGGGCACTCCAGGGTGAGCAGCAGGTTTCGCATAGTCTCTTTGCACTGAGAGCGCAGCACATAGAAGTGTATATGCGCGCCACCCGCTAATGGCTGCCGAGTTAATGCGCATGTTAGCAATCGCGACCACACCATTAGAAGCAAAGTTGACAGTTGCTGCTTGAGCGACACACCCTTCCTTCAGAACCCACTTCGTGTCTTTTTATGCTCGTTCAACTGGGTGGTGTGTTTACTCTCTGCTTCGACGACAGGCTTCCCAAGGAGGGTGACGTTATCGTGTACACCCTCCGATTAAGAAAAAAAAGCTCTGCGTTAGCTGCATTCGTTACAATCAAACATTTTTGAACTTTTGGGTTGGTTTTTTTGTTGGAAACAAGAAGCGATCGATAAGTCACTAAAAATGTTTTTACCACCATTATACATTTGTTGCTCGTTGTGTCCACCAAAGGGTCAACAAAAAGGGGCAGTTGGCTGCTCGCCGATACCTGTATTCAAGCATGGGTAACATTATCATGATGCGACGATATTGCTTAATACTGCACTTTATCTAGGCCACAGCATTCTTTGTGCAAGTTGCACAGAAAATGAAATGGCAACATACAAATTTGTGTCTTTTCACAGCTATTTGGGCTGCTCATTTTTTATTCTTAACCAATCAACACCCCCTGCATATATCTCAGATCTGCCACAATAAAATATAGATACAAGATGCTGAATTCAGTGCTGAAACAGACTGCTGCAAATTACAATGTGAAACGCTTTACACTTGCTGCTTTCACTAGTTCTACAGTCTGGTGAGCAAATGAATGATGAGAACACCTATAATGTACACTACAGAGTGCTTTTAACGTATCATATAAAGAATTTAGAAGGTGAGAAAAGTGAACGCCAATTTTAGAAGTGTCAAATACCCTTGGGCTATCTGTTTTTCCATTTGGATCATGTTCTTCATGCCTCCTAAAGAAGTGCAATTCTTCTATTAGCAGATACAGTTACTGCAAGAGCTCCAATCTCTTAAATAAAAGATATACATAACAAATTCTGCTTCCTTAATTGTTGTACTGATGTTGTTTTATTTGTCCTTTCAGACCAAATACATGGATATTACCAGTGTTGAAAAAAATCCCGTTAAAATCAATGCTGCAGTGCAGACAGAAAAGGTAAGCCAAATGTTAGGGTTTTGAAAGGATGACAATAGAACGGTAAAGCAACATTAGAAACTGACACTTGCTGTGTACAGGTTATGATGAAATTCTTGAGCTCTGGCTAGTTAGAACGGTGACCAGGAAGTTTCTAATTGTCTTAGTGACATACTGACAAGAGTCATTCGGCAGCCATAACTTGAAACCATTAATTTTTGTATTTATGCATGGAGACATGATTAACTACAAGCTTTAAATGTATTGCACATGATCTGAAGTTTGTGTCAAGATGTGAGGTTCCTTTTGCTACTCAGCTTAGTAGCATTTTTTTTACTCACGTATTCGGTTTATGCATAAATGCTGACCTAGCATTGTGCATTTTAATTTAATTTGCCATTTTTTCTATTTGCTATTATAGATGTTAAATGCATCCAGTTAGGGTGACAAAAAGTTAAACTAGTTACTATGAATTCACTATGGAAGAATTAAGACATACAGGCATGGTCTCTTGTGCTTGCGTTTTAAGTCTTTCTTTCTTTCCAGTCTGTCTGCTTCGTAATCATTACGATAGCTATTTAAACTGTGCTGATAAACCAATACTTGAAACTATCTAAAGTGTCTGTATTACGGACAACCGAAGTTAAGTAGTTGAGATGTTGAAGTGAATGTAACACACTAAATGCAACACCAACAGGCCATTTCGGTACTAGTTCAATAATATGATGCTTACTCACCACTAGTGTGCGAGTAGTTCTCATCCACTCATAATGGAAAGAGCATTTTAATGTGGCATAAGATGCCAGCTATGCATTTGTACTCTCTTCGTTGGAGAGACATTTTTTGTCAGCCTAGGCATTGCAAAACTTGCCCATTTTAAACAAAAAACTAGCACCATCTATTGGGCAGTGAAGGACAGTGATGGCATTTGCTATGTAATTCTCTCCTGCCAGAGAACAGGGGATTTGGACTTTGCAAGAGGTATACAAACCCTTGAAGCATGACTCTCTCGTAAATTTAGCATTAATTCTCATGGCATGCAGGACTTCAGTTGTTTTATTATAAATGATTGCAGATGACAATTAAATTTACAGTGATCTTTAAAAATGCATGAAAGGAAAAAAATGAAAGGGGAAACAAAAGAAAATTTGTAGCTGGCAGAATAAGCTAAGCAGAACTTCAGCATGCTGTCCATGGTGCTTCATTTATTTAGCTACATTAACATCTGTCCTTCCATCACTTTTCTTCGTCATTTATGAGCAGTTATCACTGTGAAACCTTGACATATATATTGATCGAAAGTCTGAAGGGTATGACAGAATAGTTTGACGTCTTGGTAATTTGATGTGAAGATCCATTGGAGGCTCCAGATAATAAGCTTCACTGCATGGCTCATATTTTGTTTCACAGCATTAGATGACTGTGATGCGGTGAAGCTTACTAATGCAAACCTTGTTCCTAAGGCTCAGAAATAAGACTTCTGCTTGAGCCACCCATATCTTGATTGGCGTGCATTGGTGATATTTTTTGTCATAGCGTATAATTTTCTTCAGATTGCAATACCTGCTAAGACAAAATTGTATTCAGCTGTGCTAGTTGCTTCATAGCTAACAACTGTTTAACCTGAAGAACTGAAAAAAAATAGAGGTCAAAATAATGGTGGCAGATGGCCTTGTTGGTCTCTTTTGTGCCCCTTCTTTTGGTGCGCCACTAGTTTTAACTTTCATTTATATCCACAATTTTCATTCGCGTGAACATATACAGCAAGAGTATTTCAAGAAGAGATTGAATTCAATTGTGAGAGGTGCACTTGCAGGGGCACAGTGTTTAACATATTGCAAGTGACAGTGAAGGAGTTTCATATATGCTTAGTACACTGCTATACTTTTGCATTGGATTTCTAAGAGGAGGTTGCAATCTTTAGGTACAGTGAAAACAAGAGGATTTTTTGTGTTTCAGTATATCTGTGTTCAGCAGTATTTACAACCTTTTCCTGCTGGTGTAAGCCACTGTCACTATTAGCCTATATTTTTTACGTAAGGGGACCTTCAACAAAGATGCTGAATCTTTTAACATTAAAATTGTAAAATTAAAGCCCTGACTGCAAATATGTTTCTTTTTTCTGAAAAGAGCCAAATACAGAAACCGAAATTTGGCTGATTTTCACATGAGTGTAAAGCGCATTCAAGCACTATTAAGTATCTTTGTAACTTCTGATACAGTTGTAATTGAAATGGCGTAAATGCTGATTGTAACATGAACTCAAAAAGGCAGTTTCTTATTAAAACTGAACCAAATTCTGCATCTGTTTCAATCAAACTGAGCCACATTCATTAAACCAGCACTGCATTATCAATCATGACCCTAACAATTAAGATGGTCTCATCCAGTCTTTTTCAATTGTGTCCTAGTTGCCTCACTATTGTGTTTATGTTCAGCAGTTAGTTTTTCTAGGGCGAGTTGACACTTAACTGAAGAACATGTTTTTTACTAAAGCAAAACTTGAATATAAAGACTAAGAGGATGACTTTCCTAAAACATTTTTCCTCCTAATGTTTCTTTTTGAGTTTTGTGCTACAGTATCATGGCCTTCTTCACTCAAAGATGATATATTTGAAATAAAAGACATATGAATTGAAGGTTTTGGGCATTGATTTATTCTTTGAAGAAGAACTGATCCGAAACGGCTTGGAAAAAAATTAGCTTAGAAAAAGAAGAGCTGGAGTGCTTTTTAAGGTCTTTAACAGATGCCAAGAACAAGAAAACACCACCGACAGTCCGGAATAGTACGCATTTTGCCAGAAAGGACTATCCACTCTTGCCAGAAAAGACTACCCGATGAAGCTCTCCTGCTTGGCTGATGCTTTACTCGCCAATCCACATTAGCACATGGAACCCTCAATTTCCCACCACTGTACAAGATTTTTATAACTGGTCAGAAATCTGCTTAGTGACTTTTTTCAACTGTACACATTCGACGATTGGTTGCTGCATTTTGGTGATGCTGACAGTTTATAATAAGGGACAAGAAGGAATGTATGCAAGTTCAAGTATAAAAAGTGCTCTATTTTGCTTGGAATGAACATGCACTCAATTTTTTGCGGTCCGAAATAAGAGTGCGCTTGAATGTATCGCTACCAGATTATTACATGAAATGGGTTGAGCAAGGCGCAAATGCAGCTTTAAGGTGCGGAGTGGTTGCTGTTAACATCATGCCTCAAAGGCGAACCCGCGTTTCTCCCTACACAGTTTTGCTTCATACAATTGGTTTGTTGTAAGTACCCATATCTGCTCTTCTTCATGCTGTTGGCATTGGCACGAGTTTGTTGAATGCTGACACTTGGTGAATATGACTTTGAATGTTAATGCTTCTGCTGCAGTCATTAAAGTGTGAACAGCATGGATGTTAAGTTTGCCATTGGTGGCAGATTTTACTTCTCTTGCAGTGTTTATTCATCTTGTAATTTTGAAAGAATGAATTCTTCAATATAACAAGGCACCGCCGATTTCATGGCCGATCGCCCGTGGCGGGTTGCAACAGTTTGACAAGGGTCAACCAACCCATCAAAGTGTTAGCTTGATCCTGCCGCGTTAGCATAGTGCTAATATGCTACTACTACGGTAATGTGCTACTTAACTCAGTTTACCCCTTATCTGATGACCCTATCGACCCAGCAAAGCACTAATTGACCTCGCATTTCATTCTGCAAGACTGTAAAAAGTAGCCGGCGAGATAATAATTATTAATATTCTTAAAAGCATTTCATCAGCCTTGAGCTGAATTGAAATGCCTTGCATAACTTTCTTTTCTCACCAGTTCTATGGCAGTAGGAACATCACGAAAGATCATTGCACCTGCAGAGGTGGTGTCTGAGACCAATTCAAGCATGTAGCGGCAGAACGAGAGACGGCAGAGGGAGTGGGAACCGAACATTTTTTACGTCTTACAACCGTGATCAACTTATTTCGCTGCCCAATAAAGCAGAGACAAGTCGAGAAACCGTAAAACGCCATTTTTGCGAGACATGACTTGTACTTTTTGGTGCAATCGACTACGCAGCAGTTGACGATTCCGATAAACTACGTGCTAGCGGGCATTAGGAGAACGTTTTGTTCTGTTCGAGCTCTCAAAGGCTGTCTGCTCTGACGGCCGCTAGGTGGCGCCCCAGTTGCCGTGAACGGAGTGTATAGGTTACACTTTGCACCACATGCTTTGGCTGAAAGAAAACTGATTTCACCATCTCCTTCATCTTTCTGTATTATGGCTCTGCTAGTGCTCACTTAGGCTCAACGACAGAGCTAGAGCTCTCTTTGTTGAGGTGTACTATAGTGTTAGTATTTGCCACTTAACATTGAGGATGTGCCATTTTGCTAATCTTGCAAGTACTAATGAGAAACTGACTCAATGAACTGAAAGGTAGTATCTTACTTAGGGATGTGTACAAAATCAAGGAATTTAGCTTACTTTGACTTAATGTCTTACAATAACTAAAAAAGCATTTCATTACCTTTTGCTGCTGAGTGAAGAGCTTGACTCTACCCGAAAAACACAATTCTAGGTTAAGCACGTGTACTTCTACGTTATATAAAATATCAAAGGAGAAAAAAAAGCAGCAGTGCCCAAAATATTTCAACGAAAATGTTTTTGTCGTGGCACCTGTTGTTTCAGAGTAGTGTATTATCTAGTGATGGTTTTCCAGGGCAAGTAAAGCCATAAAACGGACTAAAGACATGTTTTTCACAAAGTTGCAGCTCAGCAGCTGGTGTTTTATTAAGCAAGGTATCTATCTGATCAACTTTTAAGAATTTTTTTGTCATCATTTTCCTCTTCAATAAGTTTAGGTTCTAAGTTTATGTCCAGCTTTTTCATTGACCCCTTTTTTGTCTTGTACACTATTGTATTGTATATTAAATGATATTTGCACTAATGCTTTGTTTCAGAAAGGAATAATATTGTATTATATAGCTGGAAATGAGTGAACATGGTGCAAACCAAGTACCATAAGTGTCAATATGTTTTAGAATGATGGCTTTAGTGAATATGGGCTGATCCATCTTACCATGGAATTATCCATTCCCAGTTTTTATATTAACTTTTGTTGATAGAACTAGCTACTATGGTTCACATTTTTGCTTTTATGACTGTTCAATTTCTGTCTAAAAGAATGTATTGGGCTCCATACTGTTGCTTTTTCTGCATCATTTTTGTAATAGATTTGTTATGCTAAGCTTCTCTGTTAGCAATAAGGTAACCGCACAGACCTCATAATAAGGTCTTCAGAAATGTTTAGTGTGTATAAAAGTACTGCTTTGTGTATTTTTGTACTTTGTGCATGTTTTCTTTGTGTTGGTCTTTATTTTCTACTCTTTCTCTTTCTCTTCTTGGTGTACAGCCAAAATTTCTTCAAAGCATCTCATCTTCAGAAGAGAGTTCTTCTCAGGGGCATTTAGTCAGGTGGGTTGAGGAATACTTTATCAGCAGGTTGCCTGTTTCTTTGAAGCTCCTCTTTTTCACTTTTTTTTTTCATCCATCTTACTGTACTTCTATGGCCATGTTTGTTTGTATTTATTTCATTCAAAACTGTGGCTGTTTTCTGCTCTGTATGCAGTATGCTCTGTGCCTAGACATCTTACACTAGAAGGACTCTGCAGCACATTTTGGGGAAGTTTCATGTAGTCTTGGCTTTGAGAAAGACTCAGACTATAAATTTTTTCTTGCATTAATACCCGTAAAGTGTTATTTACTTTATTAAGTACTTTCAACATCACTGCACATTTACAGGAAAGAGCAAGAGTTTAAAACATGAGCAAAGTGGCAGTGCTGAATATGTACTCATTGTTACCAGTGATGGAGGCAGGGAGCTTATTCTTTTCAAAAGGCATCTGCACAAACAAATGAAAGTAGATGTTGTAGCAGAATGGCAGTTGAACATTCAAACAATATTCAGCACAACAGGAACATAGTAGGGTGGCAGTAACGAAAATTGCTTCAGCTCAATGTTAGTATAAAAAAAATCTTCCTGTAAAAAAATTAAATTTAGGCTACTTTTCTCCAACATATGATGCCACCTTTATGGAAATCTTTTTAGATTTCTTTCCTAAACTGATTGATTTGTGTCTGCTTTAATAAGAGCCATCTAACAAGACACTTTGAGTATGTTGGGCAAAAAATGTGAAACGAATCACAATTTAATTGCTGAAATTACCCAAAATATGCCCATCACACAAACAGTACCAATCCTGTAATGCAAAACAAAAATGGTGTGACAACAATGTAGCTGTAGTAGCTGTACTTCCAGGCTTTGCAATAAACTAGTCTTCACATTGTTGCCAATATTAAGTATAGTAGGGCTGAAAAACCTAAAACTATGTAATTTCAAGTGGTTGCATTTCATTTGAAACTTTGTAGCATCAAAAGTTATTTGTAGTTGTCAATAAATCTAGTTTATTTTTTATATCAATGTTCCAGAAAGAAGCACAGGGAGTTTGATTGTAAGATATTGGTTCTTTGAAAAGTTATGACTTTTTTGTGCCACAAAAAACAACTAAAAATGAAGTTTTCAGAAAAACGAGATTGTTTTTCAAACTGTTATTTTCGTCATTAATAGATTGTGGGACAGTAAAAACCGCCAGGCTCATTGCTGGGGCCTTCTTTGGTTGCCACAAATTCACTGGGAGATGGTTTAACAATGCCTAGTTTTTTTTGTTTTTTTTTCGGGCTTGTTTATTGCCAGCCATTGACTGGTGGCTGGCAGCTGACATATATAAATTCTTTAGTCCAAACAAAACAGTGCTTGGGCCTAGAGATTTTTGGAAAACACTGCCAGAGCTTCCAATTGAAACATTCATTCGAGCTTTGGGTTTTTTCACTCATTTCCTCATAACAGGGTTCTGTATATGCAGGCTTCAATTTCTTCAGGTTGTCATAGTAAAGACCTGCCTTGTGCTTGAATTGTCCCATGTCCAGAGCTCTCACTTAGTTGTATATGCATACCAACTAATACACTCTGCATTTTGGACATTGTTTCACATGGAACTTGGCCACATTACCTGTAAGAGAATAATTTTGGATACTGAATCGACGAAAAAATTGCTTTCACTATGGTGGTAAATTACATCAATGCAGTATAAGCACAAATATCATTTTGTGTGCCCCGACGTGACAATATGTGCAATTTGAATAAAAAGGGTCACGATTGCCATTGTTCATTCCTATTGAGCTTTAACATACTTCAGCACAAACTACTTTAAATGTATCCTGCTTTTTCAGCCCAAACAACTTTCTTTTGCTCATTAAAATATAAATTTTATTTTCACAAAATGTCAGTTTTGGTATTAGGAAGATTTACCCGTAGTTATAAAAATCAAACCTAAGTTTCTTTTACGCAATAAAATGAAGCTTTCGTTTTCACAAAATGTCAGTTTCGGTTTTAGGGAAGTTTACCGGCAGTTATAAAGATCAACACAGCTCTCAAACAGAACCAGGTAGAGACATCCTTTTTTTTTCTGCAGCAAACGTTTTTAAGGGTGGCAACATACCTTACGAGATGTTGGAGAGGTCTAGAGAGTATTTTACTCTGAGAATAACTGGTAGTAGTGAATAAACCTGTATAAAATAAATAAACCTGAAGAACAAGTCTTTGGTGGGCCTGTGATTTTAAGACTGGTTAGGTCCTGTAAAAATCAAGTTCATTGCAAAATTCATTGCAACAAATCGGGGTCAATGTTCAAGATGCTCAGCATCGGGAGAAGGAGACAACTGGGAACTACCAAAATTTTTCATTTATTTATTTTTTGGTTAAGGAAAAGGCAGTCGTTAACCCAAGCATGGTCAGCTCCAGAAAGCAAAGAGCAGTGGTTATATTTCAAATCAGTTCTTTTTTCTTAAACTATTTGGACAGATGTTAAAAGGGCCCTGCAACACTTTTTGAGCATGGTCAGAAAACGCTGCTCATCGCTAGTAGAGGCTCCCGACAACATGTGAGCCAAATATTGTAGCGCAGCATGCGGCCTGGAATTGACAATAAGTTATGAAATTCGACTAAAAATTGCTTTCTGTTGTCTCGACAAATCATGGAATGTGCCCAAAAATAGCAAGCCCATCTATCAGCCATTCGCTGATTTGAACATGGCGCGCTCGCTCGTTACAGAGATCGCCACGAAAGGCCGCTACTTGTCCATGCGTGCGCGTGCGATCACACTGAAAAAGCTGCGCATTCGAAGAAAAAAAAATGGAAAAAGTGCTCAAGGTCATGAGGCGCGCGTCACGTTTTTCTGTGGCCCTGCCATCCCTCCCTGTTTAGATACGAGCGCTTTCGGTCAGGATGAGAGAAGAGAGAATACAATTGCAGCATGCGATTAACCTTTGTATCTCTACTCGCACTAGACGGATTCTTGAAACTTTTGCGCCATTGAAATTGTCAGGCAATAAGCTCTTCCAGTGAATTCATTCCATGGTTACTTGAAATAGTGTTTCAGGGTTCCTTTGAGGAACTTGTTCAGTTCAAAAAAAGTGATTTGGTTAGAGTATATGTTCAAAAACCTTGTACAGGATACTGCTCAAAGTGATTGGCTTGTAGCTCAATAGATTGGTTGTATAACCTGCTTTAAGGACATGTGTCGGCTCCCCGGCATCCAATCACTGGGCCATTGGGCAATGCTGCACATACCTATGAATGGGTAAAAAACTGTTAAAATAACCTTAACAGTTAATGGCAGTTCGCTTTAGAAATTAATTTATTTTGTCAGTGGCAGGTGCTGACATCTTTAGGTCAGTATAAAATTTAAATGGCTCAAATGATGGACAATGGTCGAGTTCATTAAAGCAAAAGTAGGCTTAGTTGCAGTACGTAAATCGGAACAGGGGTCCACTGAAAAGGCATTTTTAATCGCGCTCAGCAAACCTCACACCCCCTCTCATTTGGAATAACTGATTGCTTTAAATAAGAACAAAAAATCAGAATATAATCAGTGACACACAAAGCGGCATACTTGTATGTGGTTTTTAGGCTCCTAGATATAAGTGCAGCTAGTCGAAGCATGGACTCTTGAAATTTTTTGAACATGATCGTCGACAATCTTGTGTCTTTTTTTTTTTTTTCGTACCAATTACTCGTACTCCAGACATACTGCAGAATTTATATGGGTAGCACGCAGAGGAATCGGAAGAGTGATATTAAAAAAAAAAAACTGTTTTAAAATTGCATGCACAGTAGTCTCTTGATAATTCAAACTGGAGGGGACCCTAGCTTTTTGTTCTATGGTAAAGTTGAAACAATCAGAATTTGAATTATTGTAGGTACTGTACCTGTTTATAGTTGCAGTCTATACTTATTGTGAAGCAGCATTATTAAAAAAAAACAGCAGTCACTTTTTGTCAACATTTTTTATGTTACTTCATTTAGTTTACTCACATGCCTAAAGTATCAAGCCTTTTTTCCAGTGAGGGAGGTGACGCGAAGGCTGAGAAATTATATTCTACATGAAGTGTGTAAAGGAGAGTGTTCACAGGGAGTATGCTCAGCAAATGATGATGCCAAGTCCAAGCAAACTAAAAATTGTATTTGTACAAAACCTGTAGTTACAAGGACATTGAATATTATGTTACATGCAGCCCTAGAGAAAATAAGTTATGGCCATATGAAAACTAAAGGTTAGATTGGAAGATTCCTCTTTACCAGTGAAATGCTCGTCTATGAAGAATAAAATAATCTGCAAGGTCTTATTGGTCAAGTCTTACATGCCAGAAATGGTATCACCTAACCCTTTTTGCGTATCCAATTTCATAAATACAGCCTTCATAGCTTTGTCTTATACAGTAGACTCTCAATAAACAGAACCTGAAGGGACCAGGAAAATGTTTTCCAAAAGTTTTATGTACTCAGAGGTGAAGAGGGATGCGAAATCCTACTAGTATGAAACCAAAAATTTTAGAGGCAGTTCTGTTTAAAAGATTTCTGTTTACTCAGAGTCTGCTGTATATAATACAACTGGTAGTGAAGTCTGTCGAAAATCTTTTTAAATCTGTCAAATATTAGCCATTTTCTCAAAACAGCCTTGCTAATAAAGGATGATTGGCAATGAATGACAAACATTTTTGGCATGTTGTGTTACGGGGGTCGGGGATTTCGCTCGTGTATTCACAATACGGCAGTTATTTAGACAGCTTTATACTTACCATGTTCAGAAAGTGCTGCAGGGTCGCTTTGTATTTTTTAGACTGATTCTCACCCAAGGATTATCATGCAACATTTTTGCTTTATGGTGTTGTGGCCTGTTCTCTGCGACTTCATTTCTTTTTTCTTTCTTATTTGTTACTGCTACCTCTGAGCAGCTTCCGGATTGGACAGGTATGGTGTCATGGGCTGTAGGAGCATGTTTATTTTTATACTGTGAGCCTTCCTATAATATTCTCCTTCCTGTATTTTTTTTCCCAACGGTTTGTTTTCTTTGTAT